GCAGTTGCAACATCAGGATCTGCGGGTTGGTACAAGAATTCAACCAACTACGAACCACTTATTTTGATGAGAGGGAGCAGTAGAACAACAGAAGTACACTTACATCAGATCAGGCTTGGATACCCATTTGCATGGGAAATAGGCTTACAGGTTCCGGAAGATAAAAGGAAATGTCAGCACTGTGGAGAAATGCCCGACAGACCACTGGAACATTATCTAACACAGTGCACAGTTACAAACCCATTAAGATTTCAACTTAGATTCAACAGAGCAGAAGTTGTTAAACACATGGGACAAAATCTAACTGAAGCGACCATAAATACTCATACTCTGCTCAAGTAAAACAGAAACAAGCAACACTTAGTGGGCCAGCCAGAGGCTTAGGGTCCGCGCAGGAATATCCCTGAAAACAAACAAAAAACTTATGTCTAGAATGATGCAAAGACTGAACGACTGGGCGCACAACACAAACTGAGCTACTGGGTAGTTATCTAGTCATTGAGTACTGCCAACTTTATGGGCTGGGGGGATTTTTTGTGACGAAAAGTTCTCTGTATTCTTTAACACTTCACAATTAATGTATGAAATAGCTTGTAAAATTAAATGGAATGAGATTTTTGTAAATGAAAACAACTTTTGAATGAAATTTGTGTGGATTCCATCCCATGTTGGAGTTGGAAAGTATGACTTAGTAGTTCGATTGGCCAAGTAAGGTCATTATCAGGAGAAAACACTAAATCAATAACACACACGACTATATATCACTTGGAAGGGATATGAGGAAAAGGATTTGGGAGGGTACAGAGAAAAAAGGAATGGTGCCCAACCACTTGGACGGTAGGGGGATTGAACGCTGACCTGCAAGAAGAGAGAACGTCGTTCTTCTGTCTAGTGCAGTCTAGCATATTTATAATGGAATATAACAACACAAGAGGATTGTTATGGATAACAAGATATACACAATAAGGATATTGAAATCTTGACCATAAAGCAACGAGTGTGATAAATGTCTTTTAGTAAATGTGACATCCATCTGAGCAAGCATTTAGCCTACCAATAATGATTTCCTAGTTCTCTGGTGGGTTGCTGTCGCTTCTAAAACAACTGTCCTCTTGCGTGAAAATGTTAATTACATTTCCTCGTAGGGCCTTTGACTCCATTGCTTATATATTCTGCAGATATTTTTCAAAATCGAACCTGACAAAACCTTGTCAGGCTCTGAAATAATTTAATTTTTGGTTATTCCAGACAGTTACCAAGAGCTGAGTTTGAATGGCCGCGCCGGCCACTCCTCGACTGACAACCAAAACGTGCTCTATTGCCATAACTTTCTTTTTCGCAATTTCAATATTTTGCTAAACAATCGTGCCCATCGCGTTTTTATAGCATTATTTGGAAGCAAAGAGAAGCAAGAGGTCTTGCCTTTCATATAAATGATTTTAGGTGACAAAAGACAACCCACAAAATAAATATAATAAAATAAAATTACCAAGATACAATTTAGCTAACAGTAGGAGCAACATCTTTAATTGTTGTTACACAACAAATTAGTACAAGCTGATCAATGTAGTATTTAAGATATGCACCATCATAACTATAATGTATTCTAACAATTTATAATGTAGTCATTATATTGAACTCAAATTCTGTTATAATGTACCGATTATTATAAAATAAATAAATAAAAATAAAATGTTTACTCAGGTAAGGTACATATATACAAGAGATTTTACATAAATTGATAGATTTATAGATAGAGCTAGTACATACGGTGCCAAAAACCACTATTACGCAAAGCGTTTCGGGCAGGAAAAACTTTAATGACTAATACTTAATACTAAATGAGTATAAAGAATAAAATGTGTTGAGAACAAATAAAAATAAAGATAAAAAGGGGGAAACATGGCTGAAAAAGCAGCAACAAATACAAATAGGTCGACAAACAGCGTTGTTTAAGAAAACAGACATGGGTTGACAATAGAGGGGTAAGGTAAGTTACAGGGAATTTATTAGGTATAGCTTCGTTTTTATCTTAAACTGGTTGAGAGAGGTACAGTCTTTAACATGGTTGGGAAGGTCATTCCACATTCTGGGCCCCTTGATTTGTAGAGCATTTCTAGTTTGATTAAGTCGTACTCTTGGAATATCAAAACTGAATTTATTTCTGGTGTGGTGCTCATGGGCTCTGTTACAACCTTGAATGAAGCTTTTGGGGTCCTTGAATGAAGCTTTATATATATATATATATATATATATATATATATATATATATAAATATATATATACCGGGGGTCGTAATAGAACCCATGAGCACCACACCAGAAATAAATTCAGTTTTGATATTCCAGGAGTACGACTTAATCAAACTAGAAATGCTCTACAAATCAAGGGACCCAGAATGTGGAATGACCTTCCCAACCATGTTAAAGACTGTACCTCTCTCAACCAGTTTAAGATAAAAACGAAGCACTACCTAATAAATTCCCTGTAACCTACCTTACCCCTCTATTGTCAACCCATGTCTGCTATTTTTAAACAATGCTGTTTGTCGACCTAATTGTATTTTTGCTGTTTTTCTGCCATGTTCCCCTCTTTTTTTATTTTTATTTTTTCTCAACACATTTTATACTTTAATCTCAATTAGTATTAAATTTTAGTCTTTAATGTTTTTCCTGCCCGAAACGCTTTGCGTAATAGTGGCTTTAGGCATTGTATGTACTAGCTCTATCTATAAGTCTATCAATTTTTGTATCACCTCTTGTATGCATGTACTTTACCTGAATAAACATTTGAATTTGAATTTGAATTTGAATTGTTAGCTGAAGGACCTGGCCGAAACGCTATTTAGAGCGTGTTAGCGGTTAGTGCGAGAATGTAACACTCACCCACTATGTGTGTACTCTCACAACCTGAGGTACCTTGTATATAAATAAATACATAAATAAATAAAGAGAAAATTAAACAAATAAATAAATCAAGAAAGAGAAGCGGGAATATTAGTAACTGTGATGACCACCTGCTGGTGTGTGATGAGAAATGTTGAGAAATAAACGAGGAATCTTGAGAGATAGATGAGGACTACTTGTAAGACCACCTTGTCCTGCAGAGGTTGATAGGCATTAAGCCCAACACCAAATCAAACATCTATAATGCTCTTCTTCAGATTTACCTTGCACTTGTTCAGTTGTGGTCACTGTACTATAGAACAGACCCACATTCAGTTGTGGTCACTGTACTATAGAACAGACCCACATTCAGTTCTGGTGACTGTACTATAGAACAGACCCACATTCAGTTCTGGTCACTGTACTATAGAACAGACCCACATTCAGTTTAACTGATGCACAGAATGATGCCTGAGTTAATGCCATAATTCAGAAGCCTTCCTTATGCAGAGAGAGTTAAAAACATAATTTCCATTATCTAGAAAGATGAAGAGAAAGGAGTAACACAAATGAAGTAAGTATAGAATATAAAACAGAGCCCGAGACTATAAACTGGAGAAGGTTAGACTCGGGAAAGACCTGGGTAAAGACTGGTATAGAAGCAGGTTTGGTGATTTATCGAACAATCTATCAGGTAACATAATAAACCTTCCGTAGTTTCCTTTATGCTTGTTTTAATTAGGAGCTGATTGTTTATCACTGAAAGTTGCACAAGTGGCAGTTGCAGTAAAATAAAGTCAACCAAATCCTGTCAGTCGTAACTTTAATTTCAGGGAAAATAAGGTAATGATTCAACTGTATTAATAAGTCTTTTGTGCGTCTTCACTTGTATTATTGTATCCAAGCCTGGAGATCTCATCTTCAGGAAGACATATGTGCTTTGGAGAAAGTTCAACACCGGTCGCCAAAACACATCCCAGAACTGTCGACTTTTGTACCAGGAACTGTTGAGGGCCTCAGGACTAACACCACTGCAACCAGGCATGACAAGGCGGATCTCGTCGAAACTTATTTAAATACTGAACAAATCAAAGGATATTGATCTAGATCATTTCTTTAAAAGGTTAAATGTAACACAAACAAGGAGCAGCGGCTTCAAGCTCAACAAGCCACACTGTAGGACAGAAAACAGATGCTTTTTCACCCACAGGGTTATAAACCCATGGAACCCGCCGAAGTCGTATATGCCAAAACGGTGCTACGATTCTAGATCTAAATAGATAAAATAATCAGAACAAATGGGGGGACCTTTGACGAGCCGTCGGCTTCCTGTCCTCGTCGAGGCCACTAGTGGCCCTCAGGTAACTATACTTACGCATACTCAATAGAAAAATTATAATCAAAGTGATGTAGATTCCCCCTAAATAGTCCATTGTTAATTATTATCTATGACGCTAAAGCGACGGTTTCCCTTCGAACCCCGATCGTCCAAGCGTTAGGCGCCGTGTCTTCACTCCGACCACACATCCCAGTGTCTTGTCTTCATACCTGTTCTAAAAGCTATAATTATACTGGCTTAGCGCTTTCTCATCATAATTACCTTTCCTCCCTCTCAAATATGTCCCTTATTAATCTAAAATCCACAAGGATCACCGGTGGACTCACCCACAAGGGTCACCGGGGGACTCACCCACAAGGATCACCGGGGAACTCACCCACAAGGGTCACCGGGGAACTCACCCACAAGGGTCACCGGGGAACTCACCCACAAGGGTCACCGGGGAACTCACCCACAAGGGTCACCGGGGGACTCACCCACAAGGGTCACCGGGGGACTCACCCACAAGGATCACCCGGGAACTCACCCACAAGGGTCACCGGGGAACTCACCCACAAGGGTCACCGGGGAACTCACCCACAAGGGTCACCGGGGGACTCACCCACAAGGATCACCGGTGAACTCACCCACAAGGGTCACCGGGGGACTCACCCACAAGGGTCACCGGGGGACTCACCCACAAGGATCACCGGTGAACTCACCCACAAGGGTCACCGGTGAACTCACCCACAAGGGTCACCAGGGAACTCACCCACAAGGGTCACCGGGGAACTCACCCATAAGGGTCGCCGGGCTCGACGGACGGGGGGACGTAGTAGCCAACATGAAAGGAGGCGCGTGAGAGCTGCGGAAGTGGCACCGTCGGGCACTGGGCGGGAGGAAAAGTGCCTGCTGGCTTCTCCTTGTGTACCACACCTACCGTGGGAGCTCTTGCCACCCTGACGGAACTATGGGCACTGGGGAAATGTGGGTGGGGGCTGCCGAAGGTGCTGGTGGTGCTCCAGGTAGTGTGGGGGGTGGGCAGCTGACCAAGGCACAGTAGAGGCGGCTGCGGTGGCGGGATGCAAGCGAGCGGTAATATCTGGCACGCCTCACCACCCACCATCACACGCCCACCCATGGACATATTCGCTGTATGTCTCTGTGGCACCACCAGACGTGCCACGCCCGACAGCCTGTACTGTCACCCACTCCTCACACAGCCACGAGACCGCCCCGTTGACAGAGTGAAGCTCACATCACACACGCCAAGGAATGCAAACACAGGCAAGTGTCTTGCCAAATTCCTCAAGCTCTTCCCACAGGACGAGAAGCCTCTCACAAAGTCACCAAGAGCCTTGAGTTACCAAGACCCCTGGAGTCACCAAGAGCCTATAGTCTCCCAAAACCTGGATTCTTACAAGTCAGCGCGTATGTTTAATTAGTTTGTATCACATAAATAATATTAATGAGATGTCTCCGGCCTCGTAAAGTAACTCCCGCCGCTCAACGCAGACACTCGCGGCCGTTTAATCCTCAACGCGGTCACCAAGAAAAGCGAAGACCCGGTGACAGCGGAACTGGTGGATGGTGGTGTTCCAGCCGCGCGTCGGGAGCGACATTACACTGCTCACGGAGGCAATGTTGGGGGCTGTGGTGGATGATGGGGGTGGGGCGGGGGTTAGGGATCTGTTGGGGGATGGGGGAAGGGATCTGTTGAGGGGGGGGGTGGGGGGGAGGTACTGGGGAGTGGGGGAATGGAGAGGGAGTGGCCATGTGAGGGAGGGTGAAGGCGAGGCATGGCGGTGCTGTGTTGACGATAACCTCGATAACATAAGCATGACAAGAAATAAGTGCGAACTCTACACCAAGTCACGACAGTGCACCAAGACACGACAGTGCACCAAGTCACGACAGTGCACCAAGACACGACAGTGCACCAAGTCACGACAGTGCACCAAGTCACGTCAGTGCACCAAGCCACGACAGTGCACCAAGACACGACAGAGCACCAAGACACGTCAGTGCACCAAGACACGTCAGTGCACCAAGACACAACAGTGCACCAAGACACGACATTGCACCAAGACACGACATTGCACCAAGACACGACAGTGACCAAGACACGACATTGCACCAAGACACGACAGTGACCAAGACACGACATTGCACCAAGACACGACAGTGACCAAGACACGACATTGCACCAAGACACAACTTAATAGTAATTGAGTATAAAGAATAAAATGTGTTGAGAACAAATAAAAATAAAGAAAAGGGGGGAACATGGCTGAAAAAGCAGCACAAATACAATTAGGTCGACAAACAGGGTGGTTTAAAAAACAGACATGGGTTGACAATAGAAGGGTAAGGTAGGTTACAGGGAATTTATTAGGTATAGCTTCGTTTTTATCTTAAACTGGTTGATAGAGGTACAGTCTTTAACATGGTTGGGAAGGTCATTCCACATTCTGGGTTCCTTGATTTGTAGAGCATTTCTAGTTTGATTAAGTCGTACTCTAGGAATATCAAAACTGTATTTATTTCTGGTGTGGTGCTCATGGGTTCTGTTACAACCTTCAATGAAGCTTTTGAGGTCAGGATTGGCATTACAGTTCAGCGTTTTATATATGTATAATACACATGAGAGAATGTGCAGTGACTTAATATCTAACATATTCAGAGATTTGAGTACGGGTACCGAGTGATGTCTGGGGCCAGAGTTGGATATCGTCCTAATAGCAGCTTTGTGTTGAGTAATTAGAGGACGTAAATGATTTTGGGTAGTAGAACCCCAAGCACAAATACCATAGTTGAGATATGGATAGACGAGGGAGTAATAGAGAGTCACCAGGGCAGGTCGTGGTACATAATATCTGATCTTAGAAAGAATGCCAACAGTTTTTGAAACTTATTTTGATATATTTAGAATGTGTCCCTGGAAATTCAGCTTGTGGTCAATGAGAATGCCAAGGAATTTGCCATCTATTTTATTACAAATTTGGGTATTGTTTATTCTGAGATTTATTTGATTAGAGGAATTATTGCCAAACAGAATATAGAAAGTTTTTGTCAATGTTAAGGGTGAGTTTGTTGGCAGTTAGCCAAAGATGGACTTTATTTAGCTCAGTATTTACTGTGGCATTTAGAGCAAGGGGGTCAGGACTGGAGTAAATGAAGGTTGTGTCGTCAGCAAATAGAATTGGTTTGAGGTGTTGGGAGGCATTTGGAAGGTCATTAATGTAGATGAGAAAGAGGAGAGGGCCAAGTATGCTGCCCTGAGGAACATCAATGTTGATGGGTAGGATGGGAGAAATTGAATTATTCACAGAAACATACTGGAGCTTGTCAGTAAGGTAAGATTTGAGGTATTGCAGGGAGTGTCCTCTGACTCCATAATGATGTAATTTAAGAAGAAGGTTTTGGTGGTTGACAGTGTCAAAAGCCTTACGCAGGTCCACAAATAACCCAACAGGGAACTCATTTTTATCAAGAGCTGCATGTATCAAGTTAATCATACTAATAAGTGCATCGTTAGTGCTTTTTTTGGGTCTGAAGCCATATTGACAAGAGCTAAGTATATTGTGTTTGGCTAGATAAGAGTAAAGCTGCTTGTAGATTAGTTTTTCAAATATTTTTGACAAGTTAGGCAGGATTGATATAGGTCTGTAGTTGTTAACATCGCTTAACTCCCTTATCTCTAGTGGTGGTTTGATAATGTTAGTTAAGAGAAATGTGGGGTATTGGTCTGTAGTGCTATCGGTGATTATACCTGAAGTAAGTGGAGAGGTTATGTTGGTCCAGATGTGATCTAGAGTCGTGGCAGTACTATCAGTGATTCTAGTAGGTCTAGTGATTAAGGGGATGAGGAAGCAGGAATTCATACAGTTGAGGAAGCTAACAGCAGTAGGGTGTTCTGGCTCGCAGAGGTCAATATTATAAGACACGACAGTGCACCAAGACACGACAGTGCACCAAGACACGACAGTGCACCAAGACACGACAGTGCACCAAGACATGACAGTGCACCAAGACACGTCAGTGCACCAAGACACGACAGTGCACCAAGACACGACAGTGCACCAAGACATGACAGTGCACCAAGACACGACAGTGCACCAAGACACGACAGTGCACCAAGACACGACAGTGCACCAAGACACGACAGTGCACCAAGACACGACAGTGCACCAAGACACGACAGTGCACCAAGACACGACAGTGCACCAAGACACGTCAGTGCACCAAGACACGACAGTGCACCAAGACACGACAGTGCACCAAGACACGACAGTGACCAAGACACGACTGTGCACCAAGACACGACAGTGACTAAGACACGACAGGTGCACCAAGACACGACAGTGCACCAAGACACAACAGTGCGCCAAGACACAACAGTGCACCAAGACACGACAGTGCACCAAGACACGACAGTGCACCAAGACACGACAGTGCACCAAGACACGACAGTGACTAAGACACGACTGTGCACCAAGACACGACAGTGCACCAAGACACGACTGTGCACCAAGACACGACAGTGCACCAAGACACGACAGTGCACCAAGACACGACAGTGCACCAAGACAGTGCACCAAGACACGACAGTGCACCAAGACACGACAGTGCACCAAGACACGACTGTGCACCAAGACACGACTGTGCACCAAGACACGACTGTGCACCAAGACACGACTGTGCACCAAGACACGACTGTGCACCAAGACACGACTGTGCACCAAGACACGACTGTGCACCAAGACACGACAGTGACTAAGACACGACAGGTGCACCAAGACACAACAGTGCACCAAGACACGACAGTGCACCAAGACACGACAGTGCACCAAGACACGACAGTGCACCAAGACACGACAGTGCACCACCAAGACACGACAGTGCACCAAGACACGACAGTGCACCAAGACACGACAGTGCACCAAGACACGACAGTGCACCAAGACACGACAGTGCACCAAGACACGACAGTGCACCAAGACACGACAGTGCACCAAGACACGACAGTGCACCAAGACACAACAGTGCACCAAGACACACAACAGTGCACCAAGACACGACAGTGCACCAAGACACAACAGTGCACCAAGACACGACAGTGCACCAAGACACAACAGTGCACCAAGACACAACAGTGCACCAAGACACGACAGTGACTAAGACACGACAGGTGCACCAAGACACAACAGTGCACCAAGACACGACAGTGCACCAAGACACAACAGTGCACCAAGACACGACAGTGCACCAAGACACGACAGTGCACCAAGACACAACAGTGCACCAAGACACGACAGTGCACCAAGACACAACACACCAAGACAGTGCACCAAGACACGACAGTGCACCAAGACACAACAGTGCACCAAGACACAACAGTGCACCAAGACACGACAGTGCACCAAGACACGACAGTGACACAACACCAAGACACGACAGTGCACCAAGACACGACAGTGCACCAAGACACGACAGTGCACCAAGACACAACAGTGCACCAAGACACGACAGTGCACCAAGACACAACAGTGCACCAAGACACGACAGTGCACCAAGACACGACAGTGCACCAAGACACAACAGTGCACCAAGACACGACAGTGCACCAAGACACAACAGTGCACCAAGACACAACAGTGCACCAAGACACACCAGTGCACCAAGACACACCAGTGCACCAAGACACGACAGTGCACCAAGACACGACAGTGCACCAAGACACGACAGTGCACCAAGACACAACAGTGCACCAAGACACGACAGTGCACCAAGACACGACAGTGCACCAAGACACGACAGTGCACCAAGACACGACAGTGCACCAAGACACGACAGTGCACCAAGACACGACAGTGCACCAAGACACAACAGTGCACCAAGACACGACAGTGCACCAAGACACAACAGTGCACCAAGACACGACAGTGCACCAAGACACGACAGTGCACCAAGACACGACAGTGCACCAAGACACGACAGTGCACCAAGACACGACAGTGCACCAAGACACAACAGTGCACCAAGACACGACAGTGCACCAAGACACAACAGTGCACCAAGACACGACAGTGCACCAAGACACAACAGTGCACCAAGACACGACAGTGCACCAAGACACGACAGTGCACCAAGACACGACAGTGCACCAAGACACGACAGTGCACCAAGACACGACAGTGCACCAAGACACAACAGTGCACCAAGACACGACAGTGCACCTAGACACGACAGTGTACCAAGACACGACAGTGCACCAAGACACAACAGTGCACCAAGACACGACAGTGCACCTAGACACGACAGTGTACCAAGACACGACAGTGTACCAAGACACGACAGTGCACCAAGACACGACAGTGCACCAAGACACGACAGTGCACCAAGACACGACAGTGCACCAAGGTACCCGTGTATGGAGACACTGCACCAGCACAAGGCTCGCGGGTGTTGTAGGCTTTTAGCTTGGCTGTCAAAATTCTGTGATAAAATACATGCTGAAATGACAACCGCCGCCCGCCGCTTAGTGTTTTATTATGGGGCGCTCAGCACTCCTGTACTGTGTGGCGCTCAGCACTCCTGTACTGTATGGCGCTCAGCACTCCTGTACTGTATGGCGCTCAGCACTCCTGTACTGTATGGCGCTCAGCACTCCTGTACTGTATGGCGCTCAGCACTCGTGTACTGTATGGCGCTCAGCACTCCTGTACTGTGTGGCGCTCAGCACTCGTGTACTGTGTGGCGCTCAGCACTCCTGTACTGTGTGGCGCTCAGCACTTCTGTACTGTGTGGCGCTCAGCATTCCTGTACAGTGGTGGCGCTCAGCACTCCTGTACTGTGGTGGCGACGATGAGCTGTGTGGCGCTCAGCACTCCTGTACTGTGGTGGCGACGATGAACTGTGTGGCGCTCAGCACTCCTGTACTGTGGTGGCGACGATGAGCTGTGTGGCGCTCAGCACTCCTGTACTGTGGTGGCGACGATGAGCTGTGTGGCGCTCAGCACTCCTGTACTGTGGTGGCGACGATGAGCTGTGTGGCGCTCAGCACTCCTGTACTGTGGTGGTGACGAGCTGTGTGGCGCTCAGCACTCCTGTACTGTGGTGGTGACGAGCTGTGTGGCGCTCAGCACTCCTGTACTGTGGTGGTGACGAGCTGTGAGGCGCCGCCTGCTGAGCTGGTCACGTGTACTTAGCTACGTCTACTTCCCTCCTTGTGATTGCAGGGTCCAGCGTCTGCTCTAAGCCCCACTTTTCAACTATCAGTATACTACAATGCAATGACACTTTTTATATGTATGTATATATATATATATATATATATATATATATATATATATATATATATATATATATATATATATATATTGATTGGGCTAATCAGTAGGATTGACTTGGCCGATCGTAGGATTGACTTGACTGGGCCGATCGGTAGGATTGGTTGGGTCAATCAGTAGGATTGACTGGGTCAATCAGTGGGATTGACTGGGTCAATCAGTGGGATTGACTGACCCATTTGGTTTGACTGACTGGGCTTATGGGTAGGATTGACTGGGCCAATCAATAGGATTGACTGAGGTCAATCGGTGGGATTGATTGACCCAATTGGTGGGACTGACTTGGTCAATCGGTTGGCCCAGCGAATCCCACCGATTGACTGTCAATGACTAGTCAAGTAGGATTGACATGTCAAATAGGATTGACAAGTCAAGTAAGATTGACAAGTCAAGTAGGACTGACTAGTCAAGTAAGATTGACATGTCAAGTAGGACTGACTACTCAAGTAGGATTGACAAGTCAAGTAGGATTGACGTTAAGTAAGATTGACAGTCAAGTAGGATTGACAAGTCATGTAGGACTGACTAGTCAAGTAGGATTAACTAGTCAAGTAGGATTTACTAGTCAAGTAGAATTGACTTGTTAAATAGGATTGACTAGCTGACTGGTCAAGTAGGATTGACTAGATTAGTCGACTAGTTGACTATTTACTAGTCAAGAATGTAAATCTTTTTATATTAAAGTTGATATTAAAAGTTGGTTATTGTCAAGAAATGATGTATAAGAGCCTTATTGTGTTAAAAATGTCCTTAAAGCAACATATGAGTGCGACAGATTGTGTAGTTACCCCCGTATGATAAATTTTCAGGTATCTGTACAGGGTTATCATGTGCCAAGGAATTTCGCTGGAGAATAGTCATCAAAAGGGCTTTCCAATATAATTCAAATCCATCCAAGCTGTCACTTATAAACACAGGCGAACTTCGAACGGTATCTCGCCATCTTCTCTGGCTGCATATAAATACAGTAGGAGCCGCCTCATATGCGGCTCATTAATTAACCCAACATTTCCTTTTGCATTATTACTGTCCATAATGTGCTGAATATTTCATTAATTTATGGCATAAATAAAAATACTTCATCTATATTTGTTTTACTTAAACCATGTCTATATATTTAACTCTTATTAATCAGCCACATTCATTTCTAATATTATATACACATTCTATTTTTCGGTCAACAGAATATGGTAAAGGTAGGTGTCTGGGAATCACCAGAACGTTAGTTCAAGTCACTGCATTCTCATTTATTTTCTTATTGATACATCACGCCTTTGTAAAGCTCCTATATTGTTTGACGAAATATGGTTTCTTATTGTCAGAGACAGTAGTGATGTGAGTTCAGAATATAAAGCATTTTTAATTGCTTAAACAAGTTTGATTTTTTTGGAAATATTTGTCTCCCATGGTATGTGCATTAATATAGCATAATTTATATACTAGTCTTCCTAACATGGTATATTCAAATAGTAATAAAATAAAATAGAGAACGGAAGTTCAGCTTTACATTCCTTCATTAAATTTGCTAATTGCTGACATTCTTGAGCCACATTACTCAAAAAATATCCCAATACTTTCATACAAAATTCCACGTAATCTAACAAATACAATTAATCATTCGTATGACAATCTAGTACTGCTGTTATTGTACAATGATGGTAATAAGGATTGCAATGGTTGCTATTACTTTGTAACCCTTTAAGGTCTAATATCCATAGGGTTTGCCCGAAATGCTGTGCGTTTTAGTGGCTTTAGGTATTGTATGTACTAGCTCTATCAATAATTCCAACATTATGTTTCGTAACTCATCTTCTATGTATGTACTTTTACCTGAATAAACATTTTGAATTTTGATTTTTGTTTAATATAACCTCAGAGAACTGGGAATCCGCCCACACAGCAGAAAATGCTCAAACCAGTTATCAGGGAAGTGGAGAGATGTCCACGGTGTTAAATATATCTTGGACACTTTTTTACAGATCAGATGAAAGAAAGTTACTCATAAAACAAATAATGCCGCCACCACTTTAGAACTTTGATAATTAGGCTAATTGATTTGAGACCATGCAACTAATATAGAGCGCTTCGGGAATAAGGCCAAATGGTGCTTTATTGAACACATTTAGTACATTTTATAATTGTTGATCCATTGTAAGGACTTATCAAGAATCAAATATCCTCTCCTGTTAGATCCCCATGATTAAGTTGAATAAGGTAAATATTTAAAATGTTATGAAAGATAAATCAGGAATGTTGTTTTCACCGCAAACAAAATGTCACGTTTTCTTAGAAAATGCAGATTCAAAGTTTTAAATAACCAGTGGACCCTCTCGATCTTATTATTTTATAAAGTTTTTCCATATAATTTTTTTTATTATCATTTACATGTACATAATTAAGTCATTGATTGCTAAAATTGGGGTGATGTAACATTCAACTCGAGATGATGTAACATGATTAAACGTGTTTTCACCAATATATTTACAAAAAAATATAAGAAAATGTATGCAGTGGCTGGTGTGGCAGCGAACCTTCAGGGAAAATTACAGTTAATTGCAAAACTTGGTTTGGCAATACCAGATTCTCCAGACTCTACGTAGATTCAGGCGAATCTCAGCTTAGTTTTGGCATGTTGTGGTAAATGGGTAGGGAGGGGGGACGTCTGGGGTTACCCAGAACACTATCGATACCAGTCGTGCTCCATTGATTTTCTGATAAGATATATCACGTACTTGTGATTTCCTTAGTGTATTTGAAAGTTTTATAGAGAACTGTTACCTAAATTAAAGTGCATACAGGTTGTTTGTAAAACTTGGGTTGGCACTAACACGGTGTCTCCAATCTCACTGAAGATTCAGGCAGATCCCAGGTTAACCTTTAGTGTGTAGTAATCCATGGGTTATGGTGCAAGTCTAGGGTTACACAGGACGCTGGTTCGATCCTCGTTCTATAATTTTATGTCCACCCTAGATTGTTTTTACAGGTTAAAGCCTATACAATTAAAAAGAGAATTAAACGAATAAGTGAAAGGAGAACTATTAATATTTCATTTGTCACCACCGTCCCCCTAGTACTAACGTGAGATATGCAATACTATTTAACATAAGCACCTGTTTAAAGCTGACTAACTTATCTTATGTCTTGCAAATCATGGCAAATTTACCATATAAATTTTAATTTCATCATTAGCTTTCAGATTTACCAGAACACTCTATGCTTAGAGATATATCATAATAAATCAAAATTTGTAATAAACCAATATATTATGCATTTAAAAAATCTTGATTAAATAAGATAAGAGCAATGTAGGGATAATGAAATATGTTAAGATTTCTAATTTTAATCAACCAAATTTTATCATAAAAAAAGTTTGATCTGCAGTAAAATTAACATTCTAATTATAACCACATAAAAAATAGTCACATGTTGGCCATGGAATATAATTCTTCCCTTTGTCAGAAGACAACTATACTAAAAACAAAAACTAATCTATGACAAATTCTGCATGGAGTATTGCTGCTAAATTAAGAATAATATGTTGAAAATTCATATATAAATTTACTGTACAGTACTGTATTATCCATACTCTTAACAAATTAAATGAGATGAAACAAATCAGTAAACTATGATTTTCATAGATTATAAGGGGAAGAATTATCATATTCCAAGTTCACCAGCCCACCGCGGTGAGGTCTGTGACATCGGGCTGGACCAGGGCGAGTCGTCCAAAGGAAATCCTTCCATGAAGTATTCCTAAAGGAACACTTCAATAAGAAAGAAATCCTTTGTTGCGTGAAACCCTAAATCACGAACCTAACAATAAATATATATTTCTTATTGAAATAAATATTTTTTGCTAGAGTACTTTGGGATTTCAAGTGATAGCTCGGTTATCACGAGAAATCGCTCACCAACAGCAAGCTGCTGATGATATGCTGGAGCCACTCACAAGGAGCGGTTAAAAAAAAAAAAAAAAAAAAAAAAAAAAAAAAAAAAAAAAAAAAAAAAAAGAAAAAAAAAAATCCCCCCAACCTTCCCTCCCCTCCCATTTAAATCTGTCTGCCACCACCAGGCTACCAAAGCCTAAACTACCTACCCCATGCCATGGTACCGCACGACCTTACTCATTAGGAATTAACCTAGTCTTAGTTGGCATCCTTTCTGCATTTCCAGATGTGCAATATTCAGTCACACACACACACGCCCTCATTGGCGTCCCAGCCCAATTCTTTCATTTGCAGATATGCAATTTTCAGTTACACACACGCCCATTATTCGGGTCTCAACCTCACTTGCCTTTCCGTATTGCAATACATACGATCTTCGATCACACTAAACGCCTTCATTGGGGTCCCTGCCTCAGCAGCATTTCAGCGTTGACAGACTTTCAAATCATCACTCACACACACGCCCTTATTGGCGTCCCAACCTCAGCATTATTTCTGTATTGCCACACGTTTAATCTTCCCAACAACATACGCCCACATTTACGTCCATCCCAACAGTCCTGCGTTTTTCAGTCATACACACGCCTTCATTGGCGTTCCAGCCTCAGCAGCTCATCAGCATTGACTTGCAATCTTCACTTAAACATACGCCCTCATCGGCGTCCCAGCCCAACAGTCCTACATTTGCAAGAATTGCATTTTTCAATTATACATACGCCTTCATTGGCGTCCCTGCATCCCTTCAGCATTGACAGTCTTTCAATCACTCACACATACGCCCTCATTGGCGTCCCAGCCTCAGCAGCTCTTCAGCATTGACTTGCAATCTTCACTTAAACATACGCCCTCATCGGCGTCCCAGCCCAACAGTCCTACATTTGCAAGAATTGCATTTTTCAATTATACATACGCCTTCATTGGCGTCCCTGCATCCCTTCAGCGTTGACAGTCTTTCAATCACTCACACACACGCCCTCATTGGCGTCCCAGCCCAACAGTGCTACATTTGCACGACTTACATTTTTCACACGTTCAAACTGCTATACGAAATATGGGTATGAAAAACAGTGAAGAGCCTGAAATGGGAGAATTAAAAGAATAAGAGGAAGAATGTGAGAATAGGATAAAAGAATGGAAGGGGAAGAGAGAAACGGACAGTGGACAGGGTAGGATAATGGAGGAATGAGAATGAGTGAGACGGGAAATATGGGAGGGAGATGACAGAAAATAGGAGATAGGGGGAAGACTGGGAGGTAGAGTGGGACATAGGGGGAGGGGGATTGGAGGGAGTGAGACAGGGACGGGAAGTACTTGAGGGAAGTATTGGAGGGTGAGTGGGATATAGGGAGGTGGAGAGTATTGGAGGGAGTATTGGAGGGAGTGGGACATAGGGAGGTGGGGCGTATTGGAGGGAGAGTGGGACATAGGGAGTATTGGAGGGAGAGTGGGACATATGGAGGAAGGACAATGGGAGATAGGGGAGAATGGGAAGGGGAGAGGACACTCCCTCTCAAAAGACTTGTGTCCCCCCTCCCTCACATGAGGGACACAAGACTGAGGGAGAATGGTGTGGAGAAATGGAGGGGGGGGGAGAGAATGGTGGGGGGAGAATGGTGAGGGGGGAATGTGGGAGAATACGGAGGGGGATAGGAGAATGGGAAATACGGGAAGGACATGAAGAATGGCAGATAATTGGAGGGTGAAAAGAACAGACTTAGGATGAATGGGATGGAGAATGGCAAGGGAAGGGAGGAGGAAATAGGAAGAAGACTGGGAGATAGAAGAGAGAAAATAGGAGGGAGAGTAGGAGAATATTATCATCCTTAAGAGAATAGGTATGACGAAGTCTGTCACGTTGACAGACTTTCATTATCACTCACACACGCCCTCGCCCTCACTGACGTCCCAGCACAACAGTCCTGCGTTGAAAGACTT